AAATAAATAAATTGCCAAAGATTAAAAAATCTTAATGCTGTTGAAAATTTTGTATGAAATTAATTGGATAAAAAGAATAGGAAAATGATGTTAGTATCTAACAATTTGCGATAATTATCATAAACATATTAAAAAAATGTATAAATAGGGGAGACTGGAGACAAAAGTAACATTTTGACTTTGAAGTGTTATAACAGTTAAAATATGATACTTACATTAAAAAAATATGTATCTTTAAATATAGAATTTATTTAGATACAAAATTTTCTTTGGTTTAATTATTTTATGTAACTAGAAAAAAAGTTATGTTTGTTTAAAGACTATGAGGAATTTTGTTACAACCCCCAGGGACGATAGTAACGATTATAACAGTAGAGGGAATAATTGTACCACATTTGCCAGAGGTACGTAACACAACAACATAAGTTATATTCTTTCTTGCAGCTGCACAAATGGATATCTGATCCTTCATTAACTTCTTTAAATGTCTCTGTTTGTATAAAGACACTTCTTTTATATAGTTTTTTTCTTATCTGTCTTGTGTTTTCTTATTAATGAGATTTTATGAAGAAAAATATAAATAACGTTGTACAAAATAATACTAAAATAAAATCAAGTAAGTTTGGGGATAATTGTAATGTTATAACTGACCCCAGGCATTGATGTTACTATTGTCCCCTAATGATATTTTATGATTTATATTATAGTAAATTTTTAAAATAAAAACCTAGATAAAAATCAACCCAACTGTACAAATCATCAACGCAGATAATCATTAAAACATATTATAATAATACACTATACCTTCATTAAAAAGAAAAAAAGATATTGTAGATTTTATGCATGTATAATAAAATTTATTTGATGCATGAGAAAAGTAATTTTTGCTCCTGCACTCGCGTACGTTCGACGAGAATCAGCATGTAACGAACGATTCAATGCCAATCTGTCTACAGAATTTTACCATGCAGCCGCATACATATATCCATTATATATTTAAGAAATATTAACGATGTTACTTTTGTCCCTGGTCTCCCCTACTAAATAAAATTTCTTTTTATTTTAAATTATCAATTTTTTAAATATAATTAGTTTTATTTATGTTTCGTGAAAGTTCCAAGAAATATGACTTTAGATTATTTATACGTAAACTAACCTACATTCATATATGTACATATATATATTGTCACCAAGAAAAATGTTTTATTTTATAAATCAAAATTTTATTATAACAACTTAACAATTTTTCATAATGTACAAAAATCTTTGGTTAAAATTCCGAATAAAACTGTAATTATATGTAAGTTACATAATTTAATTGGTAATGAAAATAATAAAAATAAATTAATATTTTTGTTATTTACAAAGCAGAAAAATATATTTAGTAGAAGCAACTAAATTTTTTCTAATATATGTAAAGAATTAAATTACATTTCATTATTAATGAAAATTATTAATAAAAATTCAAGTTTGTATTCTGCACCTGTCTCATTTAGCAATTTAATTACTTCACCAATTTTCACTGGAAACAGTTACGTTATAGGGAGTTAAAGCCAGTTGCGTACGCAAGTTGATTAAGTTGCGCTAAGGTTGCTTTCTTGATTCTAGGTGAGACCAGCGGAACATTGGGGTGCCACCGAAGTTCGTAGCCCTATGGAAATACGCATAAGCTGCAACCCGCGAGTACTCCCAGCGGTGGTAACATCGGCACACTCCATACTCGAGCGGAGTAAACTTCTCTGATTTCCCCGCTTGTGAAGTAATTATCATCCGCGCGCGCGCTTATCGCGACGATGTACATCGTTGGCGGGTACTTGAACGTGTAATAATGGAAATTTCAGCGACCACCGCGTTTGCGGAAACCGGCGCACTCGATCAAACTTCGCGTAACTTTGTTGCATGTCACGGTGAAACTCGCAATTTCTAGGTTTACGACGTGATTTTCTTTATTCCTTTTTTGCTATGAAAATCTTTGCCAATCCCACGGAAACGACTGGAATTTTTGCCACAAAGTCATTTCGTTTGGCGCTAGCTCAAATGGCAGGAAGATCAATACGCTTGAAAATAAGACGAAATTAGATATTTATTTCTCGAAAAGATATTAGTTACGATTTATAAAATTTATACGGCCACAATTTGTGAACATATTTAAATAAGTGAGAAAAGAGTTAATACAATTGAAGTTAGATTTTGCATATAAATATTTAATTTTTATATGTAAATTCTAAATATATCTTTTGAAACGCAATCATAAACTGAAATAATAATATCACAATTGACCATCGATTTGGTAACAATGCATCTTAAATTACATGTTTAACTTTAATCAAAATTATAATCGTGTCTCTTTTTTTATAATCCCCCGTCATCTCTTTATAATTAAAATAATAATAATTAATACGTAAATTTTTCATTTGGTGTTATAATATCTTCAATTTTCAAAAATTGCATTTTTTTACTCTATTCAAAATCTTTCCAAGAAAAAAAAAGAAACTTGGAAGAACAACATATAATAATTTTCATCAGAAAATATTTTCGCTTTATTAAAAGAATTATAATACTTATCACGATTATATACACAATAAATATTACATTTAAACAATGCGTTTCATTGCCATGAATTTTAATTGCATCATCACTATGGAATAAATCGCATTAAGATAGTACAGGTCGCTAATTTTCTTGCGCGATCGCGCGGAAATTCACACGAATAATCCATTCGTCACCGAGCCGAAGTCTCCGTGGATTTAGCCGCGGATGTAGGCCGCGCAGTAACACGCGGATATGCGCGTGAATCGCAGTCGGAGTGGATCCTCGTCGGTCACAGATACGATACTCGGATTCCACTGTAGTGGAAGACCAGAACAGGAGAACGGAGAGAGGAGGTGTGACAGGTGCGTCCAGATACGTGTAGCCAGAAGCTGCGCGGAAATATGTCACACGCCTAAATCGAGATCACTGCGCGAACTCTAGCCAAACGGTCGAGCGATCTTGAACCTTTTTTTGGAAAGCCTGTGGTATTTTATTTGGCCAAACGCAGAACAGTGTTGGCCCGGGCCAGATATAGAAGTCCGAAGCGCGAAACACGATGGGAATCGCCTCTGCGATTGAGCTTCTCCATGCGACGCGACGCGAACCACGGAAATAATGCAAACTGCAAATAAAGCAAAATCCGGTTCCACACGCATACCTTCGTTGGATTGAGGATTGTTGGAGGATTTTTTTTTCTCGGACCTCGGCTTGGTGAAGTGAAACTGATCGCTGTTATGAAATAAAGACTCAACTCTAACAACAGTGACTGCAACGCGATAGAACTAATATTTATAAAACGCACACTTATTTGTGTTTCTCGGACTTCAATGATAATGATTTATTATGCTATCTGTCTGTGATCTTGCAATTTATATACGTATCAAATGCTGCTGCGTGAGCGTTGCAACGTACTGCAATGCATGTAAAGGAAACGTAAACACACGGGCCGTCCGCAGCGTTGCGAGTTTAAAAATGGAACGTACAAATATTTCCATTATTCGAGTTTGGAACAGTACCAAAGATTGATTGGATCGTTGTTAATAAATGCGCGACATAGTCGAAGGTAAACGCTTACGAATTGGGCGAACTGTCCCTCGGTCATTCATAAGTTTATGGTGCATGAAACGCGCAGCAGGAATTTACATAGCGTGCGTACCTTTCCGCATCTTTTATAACCATAAGTCAGCTGTGACATTTACGACACTTTAAGGCATAAAATTGCAGAGACTATTAAAAAAAAGGGTGGCTACCGTCGCGAATTGCACGCACGAGAAAGCAATTCGCTGACGGACTGATCTTGACCATGTGGTTTTATCTCTTGCATAGGAAATATCTGAATAAAGTAATAAACTCAGAAGTTGATTGCTACAGGTACCTTAAAAATTGTAAAAACGATCGTATTTTAATAGAAATGTGATGAGACAATATCATACATTGCAACTATTTAAATCTGAAAATCCAACTTCTGCATCAAATCCCTATCAAGATAAAATTAATATTAATTAAAGTGAGATTAAATTTAAGATTATTAATCCGCTTTTCTTCGATAAAAATTACGATAAAGATTATTATCGTTCAATATCCAAAAAAGAATAATTTGTTAGTATTTATTTCTGTATACTTATTCTATTTTCTATATTTAATAAATCTCGTTATTTTTGCACCTTATTATTCTAACTTTTTGTTTACTTCACTGCACAGTTAACTTTATTAGTGTAAAATAAAGCTTTAAAAATAAATAATAGAAAACACCGCACGCTGATCTCAATCTCACTGTTCCACTTTATCTTCAAAATCATTTTTCTCATTTTACGTTCATATATATTATTTTCCGATTACCGATCGACTCGTCGCCTGTCACCGAATTGATCACACACTACGATAATATCTACATATCGATATATAAATCTGATCTAAGTAATCGATCCTGCTCAGGAATGAGTTGCTCACCTCAGAGAGGCAAGCTACGCGTCCATAGCGGAAGCCGGCGTGTGCGTTGAAAGTTGCGGGAGGAAAAGCGGTATAGGGGAGAAGACGGTATTAGAAGGAGAGAGAAAGAGAAGGAAAAGGTGTTTCTAGGGTAATTTTAGATCGGTAAGATAGCGCCTGCGGTTCGTAAGAGAGAAAAAGACGGAGGACCGGCTGGCGTGAAGAAGAAGAAAGATGGGACAAGACCAAGAAGCGAGAAAGAGAGAGAGAAAAGATCTCGAGGTGGGAGAGCAGCATCGCCGGAAAATAGCGGGAGAGAGAAAAAGAGAAAATTGAGACGGGTCACGAAGCGTTTACGAAAGCGAGAATGAGAGATAAAGAGGGGAAGGGAAAAACGCGAGAAAGAGAGTGAGTGCGCCGCGGAGGAAACTGTGGACAACAGAATGAGAAAGAGAGAACGGGAAAGGAAAAGAGGCGGAGGGCTGAGGAGACGAAAGAGAGAAAGACGGAGAGAAGTCGAGAAGGAGGTAGACTTCGGGTGCGAACAGTCTACTCTAACGCAGTAATGCCGACCAGTTCCAACCGGGTGCCGCCAAATCGAACCCTGGTTCGAATTCCGCACGGCCGTGACCGCGGAAAGAAACAAAAGAAGGAGGAGGAAGAGGAGGAGGAGAAAGAAGAAGGGGACGAGGAGGAGGACAGGAAGAAGAGAAGAAGATAACGATAACGAAGAAGACAACGACAACGACGACGACGACGAACACGAAGAGGAAGGTGAATAAAAAGAAGTCACGAAGGTGGAAGAGGAAGAAGAAGAAAAAGGTACGTTCCAAAGAAACTTCCTGTCTTTTCGTACGGGTGTAAAGAAAAGCGAGGGTCAAACTTGATTTGACGTGACATAGCGAAGCTTAGGGAGAAAAAGGGTGGAACGAGAGAAGATAGGAGAGAAGCTTTTACGTTCGAAAAAGGAAGAAGCCAATGATGACAGCAAGATGGGTTGACGTCTCGGTCCTCTGGTTGAAAAAGTGTTTAAATGTGCCCTTACTAACCTGATGGTTACTGAGAAAGTAATATTATGGTTATTATTGGTGTATCTTTGTGATTTTTGTGATCTCTGTTTACTTAAGTCTAATAATGTGATGACACATATTAGATTGTTAACGTCTGGTTTCGTCGCTTTATTTTTAGCATAAGACTTCTTTCTAAAAGTAGGGCAAACGAAAAAGAAAAATTTATTAAATTAAAATTAAATCGAATCAATATCGGTTAAAACTGACCCTAATGTGATTAATGCAACAATCAGCAATTATATTAGATAAATTCTTCGAATATTGGGATCGTTATCACGATAATTAGTATGTATTTATGATAAATGAACAAACAAGAGCTTATTAATGAAACCAGATAAACCATATGGCGCGCGATTTTCATCCTAAAATATTTCAATAAAGAAAGGCGGAGTTAGGTATTCACAACGACGTCCAGTCATCTATTTTTCCGCGTGAATATTTCTCACATGTCCGGCACATTCCTTGCAAAAAATCAGCATAGAAAAAGTGGAAGTCGAGAAATGTGGAGTTCGAAGAAATTGGAAAAGCGACGGTCTCCCGGATACACCAAGAATGCTCGCTAAAGAATGTTTCCCGCTGCATCGTCTTCTGCAGTTTTCACGACGTCGTCGCGGTTTTACGATGTTCTATTAGAATCGAAGGGCGCGTTTTACTCGTCCGCGTTACTACGAGCGTAAGAAGAAGACGAACGAGGCGAGGCAATAAAGCGGACAGAACCAAGAAAACACGAGGTTATCTTAGCGTAAAGAGAAAGAAAAATAACCGATCTCCGATCTCTCGTTCTGTTCCGGAAACGTGCCCGAAGATACCCGCGGACATAAAGAATATGAAAAATTGAAAATGTCTGCGCCAGTTATATGGTGCTCTAAAAGATATTGTAGCTGGTAACTTCACGGTTTTCTATGGTAGAAAGTTACACAAAAGCGATATTTCACAATTTCATTAAAAACGTCACGAGCATTTTAAATTATATCAATCCAAAAGAGGATCTTAATACAGTGCTACTTGCTTGTAAAATATAAGAAAATTAAACTAAAAGAAAAATGTAAATACCGTTAGTTTCAATGAAAAAAATTAAAAAGTTATAATAAAACTAATTAATTATTTTATTACTTAAAAAAAATAAATTTTCGATATAAAAAAAATTAAAAATATATTGTAGCAAAAATTAATTAATTACTTTATTATTTTCTTAAAAAATAATTTTGTCTGACACATACATCCCGTTAATCGTTTAAAGATTGTCAGAAGCACTCGCTAAAACTTTTCGCCGTTTTCTCTCGCTGCTATATATATCCAGATGTTTACATTGCCGGCGCAATGGAGGCTTCGGTTGGGAGTGCGGACGCGGTTTTTCTTTTGTTCTGTTCGGGATTACCATCTGCCTATCGCGAACGCAGTTTATTCGGGAATTTGTCGCTGGGGAGTAATTTTCCCCCCTACGATAATCCTTTAAATAACGGAGCAGAATAATGCATCATGAAAGCAAATATTACAATCTCGTAATATTACCACGCGCGCTTATCATTTATATTACTGTTTTTAATTTATGAAAATCGAATTTTCTCCTTCGGCATATTATTTCCTATGTATTTCAACTCAACATTCGTTCTCATTCTTGATGTTGTTTTTTCCGAAAGAGAAGTTCAGAGCGTAAAATCTAAATGCACGAGGGGAAACACAAAGAGTGTATATTGCAAACCGTGTGTGAATACGAACATGGAATAAAGATAGGTACCGTAAAGGAAAGGGCCGCGTCAAATTGCGCGTGCATTTATCAACTGCCGCCCTGCGTGGAGGTGGACATTGAGACATTCGCTCGAGAAAACCAGGACAGTAACTGCACGTCTCCCGTAAAAATACCTCTTCACTGTTAGCTGCTTCGCTGCCTTTTATTGCCGACCCTTTTATTGCGCTATACGCCGCAGCGACTGAGTTGAGTACAATTAGAATCTTTTTTTCCCCTCATCTCAAAATCGAGTTTCGCCGTAATGTGGTCGACGTTCGTTTCGTGCTTCACTTAATCCTTTCATTTTTCTTTCCGTTAGTCTTTGATTGCAGAACGAAGATTGCAAAATGATCGCATCTAGCGGTAGAAATGTAGAGGATATTCTAAAACGCAATACAACGAATCTTCGCAACGATGATAAAACGACTTTTCGATACTCTTTTTCATTGGTACTTACATCTTCAAAGATAACAAATTAACAATTTAAAAATTTTCTTGTATTCTTATAGAAATTTTATATAAAATCTTATATTTACACAGAAATCGCGCGTACGGTATTTCACTTTAATATTTTTTATGTAATGATAAAAATTAAATTTAAATTAATTTTAATTTTAACAAGATTAAGACATTAAATTTAAAATTGTATTGTGTTTAAAAATATAGGGAGGAAACATTTTCAAATATAAAAATAATTCTGAATCACTATATAATTGATCTATTTTTTATTGCTGCACTCTCTGAACTGATGCACACGGTGCAATAAGTTAAAGTAAAACAAATATACGTTTATTTCACTTCAACTTATTGCACCGTGTGCATCAGTTCAGAGAGTGCAGCAATAAAAAAACAGATCTAATATATAAATATCGATAAAGAAGTTTTTAAACGGCTTGAAGATCTGAAAAGAGAATGTTTTTCTGCGTACAAAAAGCTATTACCATTATGAGTCAGACAACCGATGTAGACATTTAAGTAGTCACGCTCGAGATTTCTCGGACGAGAAATAAACGACGACACGCTAAGATACAACATTTCATGTTATGTACGACAAGGATACAATGTCGTAACGATAAAATCTCCTTATGATCGTCGTTCGAGCGTCACAGAGGATTCGTAGGAACCGACATTCGTAAATCCGCACTTCGTAAACCGTTTCTGAAGCTGCTGTGCGCAACCGCAAACAGTAAACGCGACAGTAAATGCGGGAATACGACAAGGAAATTTATTTTGCGACACGTAAAAGCAGCGCGTGCAGCGTGTGCAGCATAAAAACGCGAGCTTCTTTGAAAACTTAGTCGAACGATCGTGAATAGAACTCTTTCGAAAGGTACACTAAACTTGAAAAGTTTTAAATTGCTGAAGAAAATCTTTGCTCCACAAAACTTCAATAACTGTGATATAATATTGTACAACATAACAATGTTATACATCAATTTCCCAAGTTTTAACTTTTATAATAAACTTCTAAATCAATTTAAAACAGACTTTTTTCTATTGATATTTTAAGATAGCTTCGCGATGAATGAATTGACTGAGAATAAATGGCTTAAATTAAAGCTATTGTCGCTGAAATTTATATTTTACTTCTTTCGGAAATTCAATTCGTGGCTCAATTGCTAAGATGTTTAACACAGAATATTAAATCTACAATTCTTTTCTTGCCTTGTGGAGATGTATCTGGACTTTTTGAAGTATCTATTCCCAGTGGTTTGACCGATTGGTTGACTACGAGGTGTTTATATACATTACGCTGTCAGACTACGTTCATATGGGATGCCTTGAGTTATTTCTGTCGCAAAGAAGAACGAGCCTACGAGATTCCAAATTGCCGTGAAAGCACCACACGTGGGGACCCTCTATCTTTCTCTCTCTTTCTCTTCGATCAAATTTTCATCACTGCGATCCCACGCCGATCCATGTGCCGATCCGAAGTGATCGTTCGTCCTGAACACAAAAATGCGGCGTAAAAGCTTTTTCCCTTCACGCCAACCAATCTGTCGGCCGTCGACCGTAATAACGAGCGGAAGAACTAATCGTCAACGGTAGCCTTACGAGCCGATGATTCATTTCTAACTCAGCGATCGTGCGTTTTTCTTGGAGTCTTTCCCCGTTCCATCAGGCTGTTGACAGGTCGGACGTACTCGAAAAATCAGTCGGGACAAGTCGCATAGAGCAGCGAAGGCTGTCTGGTGCTGGTCGTTTCACGAGCGGCTTATTTTTGCGCACTTTCGCTTACGTCGCGACCGTGAGAAGTCATTAAAAATGAATTAAGCTTAATAGAAGCGTTTGACCTGGATTATGAACGATTTTCTAGCAGAAGAAAAATATAAAAGTTCGAATGATTACTTTTCAATGAGAAATTGTTACTGTGTTGTGTAATATATTTGTTACTGCTTCAATATTTACTATTGTCGTAGGAGACAAATGATTAAAACTGTATGAATATCAAATATTTTCAAGGAAGATAAATTACGAAGCTATCTCTACTTCGAAATGAAAAAGAAATATAAATGGACAAGATAAAAAGTTCGACAGGATTGTATCTGGAGCAAAGAACTCAACGTTAAAAGTGACAAAAGTGATAAATAATGATTTTTATATTAAAAGAAAGTCGACTCGTAATTCTTGAAAAAAATCTGTCAAATATTTTACGAGTCCTGAATGATGTCAAATCTGTGATACTACTGTAAATACGTAAAAGGGCTTCAGTGTATTTCTGAGAGAGCATGTCGCACGCGGTCGTCACATCGAAATGATTCATGAGCCGCCGCGAAGACGTACGATCCAAGAGGGATCCACGGCTGTGTCCTCGCACCAGCGGAGGTAACCCGCTTTCAAGGGCAAAACGATAGCATCGCAACCCAAGTTTAAATTGGAGGGTCGGCCGCTTAAGATTCAGTTCTATAAACTTGAAAGTTGAGTCTCACTTCCAAGATGGAAGGCAAATCGAGGGAGGCCGAACGCGAGAAAGGAAGGATGGGTCACGAGAGGAAGGAACAGCGAACTTCCGAAGACGAGGCTTACGAAAGCTTGACGCTGCAATTAGGCAAGCATTTTCGATTGAATTCAATTAGCCGCCTCCGTGGCCTCGTTGCGAATCCGGATTGCCTCGGCAGAATGACTTCTGCGCGCGCGGCGGAACTTGGCTTGTATTGTATTCCCAACGTTTCCTAAAGTATACGGGAATTGCAAATGGAGACCATCTCGTTAGCATTCCTCGTGAGGCATCTAAGTACATCTCCGCTTTATTTTATTACTATTATTAGAGATTCCTGCCCAAAGAGGGTAATCTGACCATGTCCCTTGTGACTTCTTTTATTGCGCGCGTTTTATATTCATTCGTTTAATATTCTGTGGTGAAAAGTAAGACATTTGCATAATTTATGTACGGGTAACTTGTTGCAGAATCATGCATTAATTTCATTATAAAGACTAGCTGAAAAAATATTTTCTTAGAAAAAAAGTTAAGTCCTATATAAGAGAGTCATAAATAAATCACAATTAGTTTTCAGAGGACAATTTTGAAATAAATTTTTAATTGTAAAAAAAACAGTGAAATGCATTTTTTGGAATAATTGCTAATTTAAATATTTTGTTCACATTTCATGTACGCTTTATCATCTTTTTTTCTTTATATCATTTATTACATAAATTTTGTTCATTACGTAGATTTTAAATAATTATTATAGCTCTTTTTTCCTGACTGAATGTTCAGAGACAAGATGTTATTGGAAGCAAACACGGGTCCTCATCTAAAACTTGATATATTCCCATTTTTAGCCAGAAGCGAAATATCGATGAAACATGTCGCATTATGAATAAATGGAGCGTATACGAGGCATCTCGCTTAATTGGACACGACTCGTTTTGAATGAAAAGCTCGAGAATGGCGCGCGGCACCCACGTCGGGACTATCTTCTTCGTTACGTCCGACATGTTTTCCATCGATGACGGATATATCGGGGTCTCGGATGTTCGCCCTCGAGCAGAATTTTGTAGTGAAAAGAAAAAAAATACCAACGGAACTTGACGAATAATAATTAAAATTGTTGAATCGAACGTCGGGGAATGATCCGGTTAACGATCACGATCAGAAAATTAAATCTTCATGTCGCATCTGTGCGAGCAACTTGCATCCGGTGCATGCTACCCGCGAACGCGTGTTGTAAATCATTCGCAACGTGCATTCGAAACCACAGCGTACACGCATTTCCGCGCGGTACTTACGCATTGCGAGACGCGCCGCAACGAGAAGCCGCGACGATGCACGTGTTAACGTCACGCCGGTAAATGCGTCGGCGACACGTGTCGCACATGTAATCCATGGGCCCGTCGTTGCCTCGACCGTATGTCATGAACACCATTGACATGTTCTACAGAGTGTTCCTGGGTTAATCGCTATCTCCTTGAATGGTATGCTCTTTAACAGACTGGATCTATGTTTAAGCTAAACTTATTAGAGTTATGAGAGTTAGAATAAAGTTTGATAAGTTCATCAATTAATCTTTATTAGTGTTACAAATATAATAACGCTACTTTACGTAATTAATCTTTAAATTACATTTCAGTTAAAATTGTTATCAAATAATAAATAAAATATTAATTTCAAATTTTTTGAAAATGTGGAGTTAATTTGAATAACTTTGATATTCACAAAGACAATAATTAAAATTTTCACAATCAATAAAAATTTCACAATCGAATTAGTTACAGTTGTATGTAAATTCTTCATTAATATTATAATAGCTATTTCGTTAACGATTTCCAATTTTAATAAATATCAAACAAATTTTTTTCAACGTTAGATTTATAAACAAATTCATCATATTCGACAAATCTTAATATCTTAATTTTCTTCTAGGAAATAGCAGTGCACGTATGCCCATTAGGAGGACAAACAAAACGGAGATTTTAGCTCCATTTCAAACAGTACGAAGATGTAAACGTAAGTGAGGAGATTCCCTTTAACATGAAAAGACGTCGACAGCACAAATCATTCCGCGAACAGCAACCCGTCATCGCTTCGCTTAATAATAACACGCCCCGTCATCGATTCCATTCCAACGCGGCCGATCATTCGAATCGAGGTTTTGAATTGCGGGAGTTCCGACTCGCGTCGACCTTCGAGCGAGACGCCGCGTTACGCCGAAAGCAACCCGCCCGGAAATTGTTAAAATTGTGCACACGCCGGCTGGCCGATAACGTCCCGATCTCGCACTTCACGGTGCAAATTCGATTTTCGCACGAGGCGTCACGGCCGCTACATCGTTTACGTTTTACGCCACGCAGATACACTTGCAAGAGAAGGCCGGACGGCTTCGCACGCAACATTACCATTGCGCGAGTTGAGTACGAAGAGTCAAAATCCTGTATTAGGTAATGCATAAAAAATTTTCAAAATACATGACGAATTTATTTGTATTTCAATTAATTTTCTTAATTTAGAAAGCTTTGCATTTAAATAAATAAATAAATAGTAAAAAACTTTCTTTTTATTTCATGTAAAAAGAAAATATTTTTCAGTACTTAACATATTTATAATGGAATCAAGACATGTAACGTAACATATCACGATCAAGATATATAAATTCAAATTACAGTACAGCAGCGTACAGCTACACTAAAAAGAAGTGTCTGGTAATAGCTATCAAATGTTGAGTAAAATAAATTTCAATCAAATGTTCAGTTAATATAAAATAATTTTATCTTTCTATATAAATATTTAGTAGTTATTACCAAAAATGGTTGGTTATATTATTATATTTGGTAATACTTATTAATATTTAAAAAATAAAATTATTTTCGGTTATATTAACTAAACATTTAAATGAATTTATTTTACTCAACATTAGAAAGCTACCAGACTCTTTTTTTCAATAATTCCGCATGTTAAAATTGTAATTTGACTATCTAGCTTATATATTGAAAATCGCGGTAGTGATTATTTGGTATTAACCATCAGATTACATGTCGAAATGCATGTCTGGTTTACATCGAGGATTATATCGGTGTATTGATATCCGCGTAATACGTAGCAGCTAAACGTGTATCCGTCGAACAGACCGGAAATCGTTAAAATTACACGGCCACCAGGTGGCCAATAGGTAAAATATAGCACTTCTGCAAAAAGCACTTCATGAGTGAGATCAAGATCTATTCTAATCGCGAATAGAGAGATGAGAGAAATTGTTCAAACAATAAAATAATAATATAAATATTACATTCATATGTAAAGCTTATCTCTCTATTTTCACTAATATTTCATATATTTACGATATATAATACTGTCAAATATAAATATCAGGTAATGAAATATTTTATCAAAATATTATGAATTGCCGCAGCTTTTTTTCATTAAACTTCAACATTCAATTCTTATTTTCAAGCAATAGATTAAAAGATAGTTGCATAATTGAGATATATTTGACGTATATTTGACATCTGTTCTTCTGCAAAAACATTAAGAGAATAGCATTGCCGAAGAGAGGACATTAAAGTACTTAAGACGAATATATATTTCGTCTTAACACCGTGCGAAGTGCGAGCGTAGCAACAGAGAGGATGGGAGAAAGACATCCTCATTAATCCTTCCGACTTTATCCGGTCGCGCTGGCACGTATCTTAAAGGTCCTCGCAGGAGTTGTGATAAATGTCATGCAAATGCGCGCCTCTTAACGAGCCCTAAGTTTTTGCCCGGCAACGCGAAAACTTTCGTACTGTTAAAGTTCATGTTCACAAAGGAGATACATCGCCCCCGCCATTCTGTCGCGTCGTCATGCTTAAAAGAGCGTAATTGTTGCACGGCGTAACTTCTGGTCTCTCCTACATCGTCGGTACGCGTTTCGTATCAAAGACCTCTTCGCTTCCTATTTTATTAAATTGTGAACCCGCAAACAACATACGTCAACAGAACGCTTCACACATTTTATTTTGCAAAAGCTACGTCGGCGATTTGCACGCGACGCATTTGTTTATAAATAGCTATATCATCTGACGCTGCGCCCCGAGAAATTCATTAATCATCCGTACAAGTAAAATTAGTGATAAATAAAATAAGTTTAATTAAGCAGAACTGATCTATTTACGACGGATGCAATGAAATTAATTCTGAATAAATTTAGTCTGACTAAATTTTCAATAGATCAGACAAAATTAATTCAATTCTGTCAAATGAATAGCAATAATAATTTATCAACAGGAATGGATAATAGTATATAAAATAGTAGTATATAAAATCTTTAAATATCCTTTCTTTAATTCGTTGAAATATTTGATATTAAGACATATTGTAAAATAATTTGTATTAAAATTAAATTATCGATATTTCAAATTGTTATAAAAGTATAAATATGATGAGAATCTCAATCATTTTCGAGGAATTTTAAATAAAAACTACAGAAATGAATTTTCTTTATATAAGTTCCTTAATATATAATTCGTTTCGCAAGTAATTTTCGTCGACGAATACAACGTTAATTTTCGTGTTATGAGATATGAGCCATGAATCATGCTCATCTGCTATTTGGAATGTGTTCAAATCGAATATACGCTCTAAGCACACATCAATAGCGCCTTGTCTCTCAAAAAACACTCTGTTTTTACTACTCTGACTGATTTCGCGATTTTCGTATATTTATATAATACGTTTTCGCGTAATTTTATCTTTTACAGTATATCATGCGAGAGAAAAGTTTTGCTTTTGTCATTTACCTTTTTATCATTTTCTTTCGACGTTAATTAAAGGATCAACTTCGTTAAGAAAGTCCGCAGACGTATGACGAAGCGTAAAGTTTTCGCTCTTTTTCTAATTATCGCGTGAGGTAGCCCAGAGATAATTACAAGTTCCTAATACAAACACGAGAAGATCGTTATTTATACAGCAATGGAGAGAAAAAAGCTAACTAAATGAAAAAAAGATAGGAAGAAAAATCAAATAGATAAGAAAATACGGGGCTAGATATTGATGCCTAATATTTCTATGTAAATTTTAAATCTTTTAGTTATAAAAAAATCTGCGAGCCCCCCGATTATTGTCAAACTTGAAACACAATCACGAAGGTAAAATGATATAACAAATTAAAGTAAAAAAAAAAAAAAATTTATTTACTATATGCTACTATTTAAAAACACTATAAAAAATGTATTGAAAAAATATTACGTCAGCCAGAATTCAAATCTGAAATCTTCTGACTATTCAAGGCGAATATCTTTTCCAATTTGATTTAATTGAGAAAAGCTTCTAAAAATTTATTAAGAAAATTCTAAAGTTGTCTTGTTTTACCAAAAGCGATATTTTTCTAGTACGGAAATGTTTTTGTTGATTACAAAAAATTATAAATCCTTTTTCAGAATTCAAATATAAATAGACTGTAAATACGCACATGAAATCAAACAATTTTATATGAAAAAGGAAAAACTTAGAAAATTACAATTTTCTTATTAACTTCTGGCTCGTAACAACATTCGCTTTATATAAAAGTTTTATACTTTGTATGTGCAAAACAAGTTTAGCTCCATGAAGGAATCACAAGAAAGAACAATACTGTGCTGAAATGAGTCTGAGAGCTTTAATATGAAAGAAAAGCCCAGAAAATTTCATGTGTATGTATGCATACGATATTGATGTAGTAATATATAGTAATATATCAATGTTTCGTAAATCGTATATATGTAAGTTGATAAAACGATGATCCCGTCGATGATCCGACTTTATTTTAAGATCTTCTTAAGAGCAAGAGCACATAATAGACAAAGTATTGGTCAATTCTTGTGTCATTTGTGGAAAGCAATCAAAATATCATGTATCATTACATACATTGCCAACAATGAAAAAAATGCATGTAATTTTACATGGAAATTACATGTTTATGACTGGAAAATTGCCTAAATATGATTGGAAATTTACAATTTCCAGTAAATTTCTAAGCATATTTATGTAATTTAGATAATTTTCCAGTCATATACATGTAATTTCCATGTAAAATTACATGTATTTTTTCAGTGAAGACTTTCATAAACAACAGAACAGTCGTCCGACACTTTGTCTATTGTGTGCGTTTGATCGATTTATATCAAATGAGATGTCACGCTCCGCTTAAAAGCGGAATGAACTCTTATTTAAGCTATTAAAGTACAAAACCCAAATTCAGTCCTGAAGTCCCACATATTTTCTCTTAAGTTTTTCATAATTTAATGGTTTGCAAATCTCTTTCAAAATTTATCTGATACAGTATTCTGCGTAAAGCACAATTATAATTTCTATATACAACTGTGTTTTTAAGAATAAAAAAATATGAATTATAATTTCAAAAGAAAATATACGGGATTAACCTTAGGATTAAATCTGGGATTTATGACCCGAAGAGACCAAATATGTGTCTATCGTTTTCACGTAGAGCCAACATCTTTTTTGATTAAATTAAAGAGAAAAATTTTTCTTCTTTCTTATCGTCTTATCTCAAATCATATGTTTTTGATATATTCGTGATATTTCGATCTACATGACACAGTTTCTATTTGCATTTTTATACGACTTTAAATATTAAAACTTTAACTAAATAGATTTAGAATAGTACTTTTACATCTCTCGCTATAAAATATACATTTTATATTTCAACAAATTGTTATAGCTTTTAATTTATTGATTTAATTAATTTTTCTTTTTTATAAAAGATTGTTTAATTTTATTCTTAATTTCGACAGTAAAACTTTTTACATATTCAAATTCATTTTTCTTAAACTATGATAAACTTCTACTTCTTCTTTATACTTTTCTCTCCTTCTTGCTTTCTCTTTGTATCTTTTCAGAATAAGGCAACAACAGGATCGAGGATACACTTGCTTTACTACATCATCCTCTTTGATGCCATTCTTTAAACTTTGAATGTCGTAAGAAGAGCGGGCAAGAATGAGAGAGAAACAGAGGAAACGCTGAGAGAGCAACATCGCGAAAAAAAAGTGTCTTTCAAAGCGGATACTTGCTCCCTCCTACACATAAGAGCAGAATGTTTTTGCCATTCCGCGCATTTACTCGAACACGAGTATCGGATACTTCGCGTTCTACGATACAAGAAGCAATCCTCTAAGCGAAGCTGTCGAGAAGGTTTTAAATCACGTACAATATCCTGCAAAACTTCCTTCACTCAAGTATCCTTCATGATTTCTTTCGCGACCAAAATCTCAGCAAATAAAACCTTTATTCGCGAAAGTTTTTACAATAATATCAATCCATTTCGATGTTTGGACAAAATGGATTTTCATTAATTTTATATAAAAGCAATATTCTATTTTTGCAGCCAGTAAAGCAGACTGATAAAAATATATAATTTATATAATTATATAATTATTTTAAATATATTTTCGTTGAAAAAATCTAATCTAATTCTAAGCCATGAGATTTTTTCTTCACTATTCCCTATAGTTCAATATTGCTTATAGTGTTTCAAAATATAAATTTATACGACTGTAATTATAAAAATAAATTTTTTTATATGACTATTATTTTATAATTATATGACTGTTAAATGTGTGATTTCTAATATATATATTTCTTTTCAGATCACCGATAGGAACAAAAGTAATCAGAAACTTCATCAACTAAATCGGAGAATGTATAAAATTCATAGGAAAAAAAACGCTACGAGAAATTTACGAAGTCAACTAATCATCGAAATTATATATTTCGAACTGACGGTATATCTCGGCAACCGTTTCGTCATTTTCCTTCAAACTTTAACGCATTTTTCAAGGACCAACGAATCTTCACACAACGGAGACATTACGCATCATCATAGATAATCGCTTCACAACAACTGCGAGGCATTACATATCGCAACAGCTCATCGTTCTCGCGAGAGCAGTTTTTGCGCGAGTACACGGACGCGTCCCACCGGATAGGAAAGAGACTAGATACTGTGATAGAAGTTAGAAGTTCAAGCTGCAACTTTAAGTCCCTTGTGAATAATCGCTGACGATTTCCTAGGGGCGAAAATCTCTACATTCATAACGGCGCGTGATAGTCGACCGATGACTGCCGCAGCCGGCCAAAAGATTGCAGAAAATCCACCCAAGCGACGAGATAAATTCCCTCGCGTGTGCCTCGTGGACGTGCAAAACAAATTAAAAGAAAGGGGTATAGAAAGAACGAGAAAGAGAAAGAGGGAAAAATAAATAAAAAACACAAGAACAGCGCTTAAAAGTACGAGAGGTGGTCGCCTGAGCACGCTGATAAACGCTGAGTAATGGGGACGCAAATTACGTGCGAGGAATACTGCGTGAGAAATGAGTGCCCGATGCAAATTCTGCTGGCCGCTAGGACGATGCAGCGACCGGTACTGCCGGATACTGTAACTCTGTTTAAACGATTCACCACGACCACGTGGACCGAGGATAGGCCCACGAAGCAAACCGGCCGTCCATCGTCTCCGTGACGATCCGAGAGGACGTAATCCCAGGAGAAATTAACCAATTAGTACTGGTGGTAGAGGATTTGCGCTAAGTTAATAATACAACAATGAGTATCAATACAACGGAGATCATGGATAGATTACGTTACTCGCCAACAACGATAGCTCTCAACTCTGTCCTCGCTATGGACCAAGGTACATAATCCGTAGGATACTACAACGCGTTACAGCCTTCATGAAGCGTATACGAAATTTTAGACGGATTACTCCTCAGCAACTCAATGGCTTTTAACCTTGGTTTCACGATGCAACAGCGTGGCGATATTAGGTCTGTATAGACTACGTGATATCACGAGTCAGTGTATACAAACTTTGCAGTACTACAAACCAGCATGTATAGTCTTCACAATAGGGAGTGACTCGGCAAGTAAAGTGTCTGTTCGGTCTCTCCGGCATCAATTACACCTCACTTCCCGGATTTGTTCCCGGGATTGACGCAGGCAGACTCTTCGCCGACGAAGTGACTGTGCGATTATTCGAGGAACATACGTTCGGCTTTAAACGGAGGAAGTGGCTTCGTGCCGCGTTGCTCTCGAAATCCAGCGTATCGGCGCGAGTGCGCACCTTTAATCGTTACAGTGCGGAGTTATTATAAGACTAATTATATAAATATATGTATAATATAAAAACTAATTTCCCGTTATTGTACGAGTTAATACAAGACTAAGATATACTTGCTAAATGGCTAGAAGTGATTTTTTTAGTGAAGATAAGATCCAGCGGAAAAGAGAATTAAGTATCAGTTCTCATAATGATATAACATAATATAAAAAAGACTTCAGACTTTTAGATAATATAATTTTGTGGATTACTATACTAAAAAATTAATACAAAAATTCCTATCATTAAATGACAGAAAGTGATTAGGTGTCCAACATGATAAGATGGAATAAGCAAACTACAGAAATTGCGAACGCTTCAAAGTGAGATGTTTCATAGTATAATTATAATATATATAAAGAATGAAGATAAACACTTTAAAACGAATCGTCGGATTTGCCTACGCGATAAAAAGAACGTCGAGTGGTTAAGTCATAGCTGCACTCGCCAAGTCCAACAGACGTGAAACCTTTAAGCTCGGAACTTTCTTCGAGTAACGTCAAAGATCAAACGGAGGATCAAATAGTTACGAGGAACAAGAGTATATCTCGAAAGTTTCTCGAGAGCAAGGAGGGAACAAGGAAGAGTCGCGTGGTGCTCTCCTCTCAAGAGGCCGCGCGCATGGCGCAGCCGATCATTGCGGACAATCGGTCACTCGTCGCGATCCGCTCTTTGTGATACACCACGCAACACCGTTCGCGGAGAAGAAAGAAGACAAGTGGCGCAAAAGGAACAAGATGATGGCGGGAACGGGGGTGGGTGGTGTCGGCGGTGTAGGGATGCTGAGAACCAGGCGGCGGGACGTCAGCGTCAAGCCAAATAGAAAACTCGACCGGAAGTCCTCGAGGGGGATGATTTACGAGAACGAGGAGCTCAGACTGAGGACCATTCACATCAATGCCGAGGTGGAGCAAGGTAAAGGGAGAGGGACTCAAGGGAAAGCGCGCGGCAGCTCGTGCGGATTTGTCGATGAATCGAAGGTGAAGGTAATAGCGACTGTGTCGTTTAGAAAGGACAATGTCGCGATTACTTTTCCTTTCCGTCGACTTGATCGATTTGATCCCAGTTAATAAAACGTTCGCGATGGACAAGCGAGATAAAATGATTTTCAATACACGAAGAGACAAAAAAATTGTTTCTAACTTTTCTCTTATCTCTTTCGACGAAAAAATATGTATGTTGAATTTAGTGATTAGAAATTCTGTTATGAAACATAAAGTTAGATAAATGAGGCTATAAGCTGAATATTTTGCATCTTGTTAGTATAACGCTGTTACTTTATTCAGCTTATTTATTACTTACACCATTTCATTTTTTCCCTCTCGTCCAGAATGTTTTAAGCGAATTTTATTAACGCAGTTGCTCTGAACGCTACTGTCTGAATTATTAATTTACCGTTATAGACGATTCACACTCGGGGGCCAAATTAATTTCGCAGGGACTTCCATTACGCGTTAGTGGCAGACCAGACCAACTAATAATGTTAAATATTTGATTCTCTAGGGTATGACTGCGCCAAAGCAATCAAGGATTAATTTAACTACCGTGCTAAAGGAATTTTTGATATATTATGGAAAAGCAAGAGTTTCAAACTTTTGTTACTCTATTAAAGTTAACAAATATCGCGATAAGAAAGAAGCTAATATCTTAATGATATACAAGATGTTTTATTACGATACATTCACTGCAACAAAAAAGTTAATCCTAAATCAGAAAATATGTCGTCAGAAATTTAATTAAACCACCCTTTCGTACAAATTATTACTTTTTCTCTTTCTCCCTCTTTTCTCCCCCTGGTAAATACACTATGGAATTAATTATTTCAGTATTTTTGTGCTTTACTAACAAATGTTTTAATAAACTCGTTTGGCGCAATTGTACTCTCTGAAATTGGAGGACGTTTTATATATAAATGAATACCATTAATCTCGCGAATCTCGCTACCATCGCTTTAATTATGAATTCGTCATTACGAGTGATACCAAACAAAAGGTCAAATATATTTCATACGTGACAACCACGGGGAATTTTATTGCGCGACTGTGGTAGATCCGGTAAACTGCATCGCGCCGCGGTCATCTACAAATAGACACATGCATACATCAGATTGAAGTCGCCGTACGAACTTACTGCGAACTATTTTCGAGGCCTGGCCTGCACACGCTGAATTTGTCCAGTCGGGTAAGCGAGTAGTACAGTTTCTAGTACCGGCGGTCACGATTCAGCAGACTTGACTCAGTTGCTAAATGCGCCCGAGATGACGCAAAACGCATTCGCGTTCCAATTTCCAAAGAAACGTTCGCTTTCATCGCATGACATCAATTTAATCTAACAAACGATAAAAAAATAGTGAAGTTGATAAATCAAGAAAAAGAGGAGAACTTTACCAGTGATTTTTTGTAATTGAATGTGAACAACGACGAATCTACGTGGCTGATTAAGTTAATCAGTAAATTTATAAGCTGTGAAATTTAAAATTACAAGTCAAATAATAGTTAAGAAAAAAAGACTGAATCGTTTAAAAGTGAAACGCTAATTATTGAATTATTGGGAATTCTAACATGGAAAAGCTCGCAAGAGGCTGTCATTGAAATCGACTGCTTACCTAATTAATCACATTTCTTCGACGATGCTTGATTAACAAAATGGTGGGTATATGTATATGTAATCGTATAGCTTTCGTCAGGTATTATGTTTTAATTAAACTTCAGGAATGAAATTGAACGGATGTGCCGATATCGCAAGTAAGTACGATGTTAATACAAAAAGCTTGAATGACGGCACATGAATCGCACGTCTACGTAATTTTCCCGAGATTTATTTACCCGCGGAGCCAAGAAAAGCTTTGTTTTGGCAAATATTCCGGGATGGCGGGTTTGTTCTCTTAGAACTCGGGATCCAGATGTCGACGCTGTACAGATTCCAAAAAGCTAAACGCTAACTTCTTATCCTACGTAATACGTTGAGACGTCAAACCGATCTCGACTTTAGTCTTCCATCGATGGAGCAATCAGTAATTTGAATATTTTGGACTGCTTCAAGTATTAATAAACGCGGGAATAAACGTTTGAGTCAAGCCATAAATAAATAAGCATGATAACTACAGATGTAT